GGGGGGGGGGGGGGGGGTTCCGCACGCTCTGGCCCGTCTGGAGGAACTTCAGGCAGATAGTGCACTGCGAGTATTGAAGACTCGCGTCTCCTCCGATGTCAGCAGGACAAACGTGTCGAAAAGTCCCAGAATCCTAGGTTTTTCGCGGTTATGTCGCCCTCTGTACTGTGAACGTGAGCATAAAAATGAGTTTGCAATACACTGTCAACGTCTGCGGCCTGGTGTATGTCAAGTATGTTACATGAAGAAGGGAAACTGCTTGCAGCTCAGTCTGTTGCGAAGGTTAAGGGTGCAGCAGCCCGATCTGCTACTGCAGTGCGGGGAGAGCAAGTGGTTGTCTGTTCGAATCTAACCGAGTGTGGCAGAGACGTCTGCCTGTCTTGGGGGTAGTGCTCTCGTGACGGGAATGGTGAATAATACCGGAGACCCCTGGTGTTTCGTGTTTCGTAACACCGACATGGCGAGTTCAAACAAGAGGGAGAGAGAGCTAAGGAATAACTGCTGCTGCTGTTGGTACGTGTCGCAGGAATGAATACGTCGAGGAGGTATCCATATGGATGATGATGGGCAATGGTCCCTATTCCTGACTAAACGAACAGATTGACATTCTCGTTCGAATGGTCTGTTCTGGCAGCGTGGGCGCGTGCGTGCGGTGTCACGGGTGACCTCCACACACAGCCCTCACGGTGCAGAAAAATCATTTTTTGATGCGTCAAACCCAATGTATTGCTTAAAACCGCAGGTAATCCGTCAATAGTACGGACATCCGAAAGATTTCGGAGGGTTTTCTGACGGTGCACCGTCGTCAAGGCCTCAGTTTCGCACGGTTCATTCTACGGAGGAAATCAACCCGTTCCGTGAATAAAACGTGCTACAGATTAACCGCTGCACTCTGCTCTGTGGTGTGAACACGAAAAGCCGCTCCGCTCCGCGACACTTTTCCCCTCGGATGAGCCGATCCGTTAACAAGTCGAAAATAGAGAAACCGCTCCGCGGAGCGGTTCTACTCCGTTAACCACCAACCCTGAATCTTTCGAACGGACCGGAACTTGTTTTCTCGCGCATACAAAACGGACTAGCATCCCTATCTGGGACTTCGCGATCTAATCCCGCGAACTACATGTACACATCATAGCACATAGGACACTGCTGGGTTCTTGTCGTTGAGTTGCTGGACGAAAAATACATGGTGTGGTGGGGTCAATCTGTCAATAGCACCCAAACACCAAGGCATCCGCTGCTGCCTGCTGTTGTGAGTTAGGCACCTTCAAGACGGATCGGCTAGCGAAAGGATAGGGCAATGGGATGGTAGTACTCTAGTCGTCGGCTCTACCTGAGAAAATTGCTACTACAGCAGTACAGAACGCGCCGCCACCTAAGAACCGCTATTTTCGGCCTAGGCTGGGCTTCTTTGTTCCTAGGGTGACGATCTAGTTTTTTGTATAGGGGTTCTTAACTGAGCTCCCAAATGATGCCCAAGCTCCTTAATTTGATTTTTTCAGGCTCCGTGGCGCAGCGGTTCTACAGTTGATGACTTCAACAGGTACTACAGCAGTAGTCCGGCATGGTATCTTCGCGAGCACAGGGAACAGCAGCAGCAGTACAGGAGAGGGCCGCCAGATCAGTATCGGGGATGGAAACGAAAGGGCGATGCTTTCAAAGAGGCTGCAATTATGAGCCGGTTTGCCGCTGTTGTGCCGACTTCAACCCCTTCAGGGCTAGCTTTACACTGTTGTTGTAAATCGACTTTTGGGGCCGCTTAAAGGACTTAAAGGACCCATCTTCTTCAACTGTTTTAGCTAGCGAAGACGGGCATGATTGTTTCCACATTTGAACTCCTCGACAGGGTGGGATGCCGGGATACGCAGGGAGAACTATAGCGTAGTGCGGGGACTTTGTAGAGGGGAGGGGTGAGAAGGAAATGGCATGGAAAATCGCGAGCTGATGCGGAACGGTACCGCAAGTTCAACCGCGAAAGTGAGCCTCGTCTATATGTCTGTGCTTCGGTTGAAAGATCTACTAGGGGAAAGTGTTGAAGAAGCTCCTCGCCACCCGATGAAAGGAGGCACCGGGCAATCTAGAGCTTGGGTCGGAGGGTCTCGATTTCTCTCTAGAGGAATATCTCGAAAATCTCCTGTTTGTACCCCGTTTTGCCAAGCTTCTGCCAGTTCTTTTTGTTAATAATCCCTACCAAAGGCCCCCTCATTGTTTTTTTTTCATGGAATGTTGAACAAGAGACGGTTCAGGTGGGTAGGAATCTTGACAATTACGCCCAGGGCTGGTACTGTCCGCATCATCCAATCAACAGTCGACTTTCTGTATTTTCTTCCATTTCAGAAACTTCGCCAGAACACCGAATTTTCTGTGCTTCCACCCCATCGCGACCCCCCCCCCCCCCCCCC